GAGGGAGTGAAAGGCTCACTATTACTACTGGAACTATGTTCTGCATACTGCATGTATTATAAAGTGCATTGAGCACTTTTTTTGTGAAAGTGTGCTCTTTAAATACAATTTATTATTAGTATTAAATGCTAGAATCTCATACAGTCCTGTAACCTGCCTTCTTCTCTGTTGCCCAGGCTATGGTGGAATGTCCCTGTCCATCGAAGGCCCCAGCAAAGCCGACATCGAATGCCATGACAACGAGGATGGTACCTGCCGTGTGACCTACAAACCCACGGAGCCAGGCACATACATCATCAACATCAAGTTCGCTGATCAACACGTACCAGGTAGGAGACATTCGCTTGGTTGCTTTTTCTTTTGCTCTCTCGTTAGAATTTTGTAAAGATTTTCTGTTGCTTTATTTACTAAAGTTACTGGCCTGGGGAATATTCCCAAAAATATGTGAGTGTGAAAGGCTCATGTTTATTTCTCTGTTACATGGTCAATGATTGTTTTTAAATTGCAAAGCGAAAAGAGCCTAATTTCTAGAAAGGATATTATGTGTTATATGAGTATAAATGTTTTTTATTATTTAATTTTATGACACATTTCTTGCTCTTTTTTGTCTTTTCCACAATAGTCTGTTACTTTGTTATGTGTTTTTTCTTAACCTGGTTAAGTGTACCTGTCAAAAAGTGCGTAAATTATTTGTATGTTGCAAAGTGAATAGAGTTTACTTTCTAGAAGTGATATGCTTAATGATGAATACAAACTTCAAAATTATTTAATTTTCTAATAAATTCCTCTCTGTTTCCCTCTCTCCCAGGGAGCCCGTTCTCTGTCAAGATCGGCGGCGAGCCATCAGCCAAGATCACCGAGCGCATCACGCGTCACAAGGAGGCTGCCGATGTCTCTCACGTGGGCAGTCAGTGCGAGCTCAGCCTCAAGATCCCAGGTCAGTACCTCCTCATACAAGAGAAGATGAGATAAGGTAGCATTTTATTGATCTCCACAAAGGTGTGGTAAATACGTACACCACACGTCAGCACACTTAAACACATATATACGCACGTTAATACTCACAGGCACACATACTAACACACACAAACACACACACATGCACTCATATTTGCACACTAACGGACACTCACAGACACAGACAGACACACACACACACACACACACACACACAC